TAATAATAAATAATAATAATAATAATAATATAATAATTAATAATAAATAATAATAATTACAATATATAATGGTGGTTTATCCTAGATAAGATAATGTTAGAGGCGGATTACACTGTTTTGATCTTGTGAGTAAATTAATGACTCAGCGACTCATTATCAGGGTCACCAGGTCATTATTTTGGAAACAGTTCATTACCACACTTGTATAACTATTACAACACTGAGGCCTAGTCCCTAGACCTATTATATTTCTCAGTAGTCATATGTCTACTACCCACAGGATGGGTATGAGGAATGGTATCTTGACTACCCTTTCTGTCTACCATTACTTACCTCCTACTTACGATTATCACCACTACTGGTTCTACTACTACTTCTGTACATCTTTCTTCCTCTCTTTGTTCCATCTCTGTTCTCGTGGTCAGTGGTCAAGTCGTCAGTGAGGTCACAAGACCCTGAGCTGCTTTGGGGATTAGTGTGGACGGTTACAAAGCATGGCTTGCTTCTGCAGTGTTTTAAAAATTGAGGTTGGAGAGTTGAAGGAGGAGGTCTTGCTTCTCCAGGAGGAGATTAGGAGGCTGAAGGTCCACCTCAATGGGTCTGGGAGAGAGTGTGAAGGTGGCTGGAGCTTGTGGGGAATGAGGCTTCTAGCAGGTGAGTGCGTCTGTCTCTCGCTGTGAGGACGCTGTAGTGGGGAGGTAGCAACGGCTACAGACAGTGAGGTGCAGTACACAGCAACTGCTACAAGTGGCGATGTGGTTCACAGTAATGGAGGCGCATCAGATCTAAGGAAAGTTAAGAGTGAAGATCTGAAGGTAGGAAATCGCTTCTCTGTTCTTCAGGAGGATGTACTTCAGTGGCCACCCAGTGAGGTAGGGTACTACTGACCCTGCTAATGGAGGTAAGCGCATTCTTGGTGTTCGGTGACTCTCAGGTAAGGTTTATTGGACGATGCTTTTTGATATATAGGAATAAGAAGATGGAGATAGAGTGTGCTTCCCTGGAGCTGGTGTTGGGGACTTGTCAACAAGGCTGGATAATATCATGTCAGGTAATGGTGGAACAAGCCCCGCATTTTGTCTCAGATGCCTGGTGGGAAATGATATGGGAAGGGTAGGAGAGAAGAGTGCTTAGATAAGTACAGGTCAGCTATAGATTTCATTAAGTTAAAGGGAGGGATCCCCAATATATGTAGCATCTTGCCTAGAAGGGGAGTAGGAAGAATTGAATGTGTTGTCTAGGGCAATTGTGTAAATTGATGGCTAGACAGATACTGCAAGGTACTTGCAATCACATTCATTGACAACTGGAACGAACTCTTTATGGCAAACATGATATTTATGCAAGGGATGGGGTATCATCTCTCTGGGGCTGAGGGTGGGTGTTGCAAGTAGCACTTGCAGACTCGATTGAGACAAGGCCATTGGTGAAATGCCTATGATTTTAAACTGATGGATGATAGAGGTATGGGGTGTGTGTGTTGGGAAACAAGCAGGTTGCAACACTTGGGTTGGAACAGTAAAATGTAATAAAAAGGCCAATTTCAGCATGAAGTTATAAATAAAGACAAATAGATCAGGTCAGCAAACAATAGGGGGATCGCAGAGTGGCAGCAATCCCCCCGGGGACTAGCTCCCTTAGGTTTACTATACTAATAGCAGGTAGTGTAAGAAATAAGATAGATGGCTAAGAGTAATTGCAAGTGCAGGAAACTCAGAGATATTTATTGCTATAACAGATGACCCTGGCTCAATCTGAAAAGATAGAGGATGACCTCTGTAATATTTTTTTGTCACATACAGGACTATAAAATTATTCACACTGACAGGGTCAAGAGGAAAGGTGGTGGAAGTAGCTGATGTTTGTCAGAGACCATTTTTAATTGTTGTGTTAGACAAGCTATTAAAAATAGAAGCGTCAGCCACTGAATCTGTTTGGTTACAGCTTCTCGAGGGCCGAGAAATAATAATTTTGGGTGTGATTTACAGGGCCCAAAAATCTTGATAAGGAGTGCAGTTAAACTTCTATGGGACGAATTTCGTATAAGGCATTATACATACGAAAATAGTTGTGCTATTGGAGGAATTTCAACTATAGACAGATTGACTGGAGCAATTCTGACAGGAAATTTAGAGTCAGGTGTACTTCTTGATACGATCACAGGACTTGTTTTTTAAAACTCGGTTTTGTGCGGACAGAGCCAACTAGGGGAAATAACCTCCTTGACTTGGTTCTTGCCAGTGGGAAAACACTAATTAATAATCTTAGAGGTTAATGATGAGTTTGGGGGGAAAAAAAAGTGATCACAAATCACTCGCAGTTTTTTATATTATAATGGAATTCCCTAATAATGGCAATCAAGTCTCAGTCCCTGACATGCGCTTGGCTGATTTCATGGACTGAAAAATTACTTAGGTGGGCTGAACTGGAATGACCTGACTAAGGGTCAGGTAGGTGGGTGATGAGTTGCCGTTATGATGCTTTCCAGGGCTTATTTCTAGCTGCTCAAGTCACAAATTATGTTCCAAATAGGGAAATCTGATCAAAACAAAAATTGTTCCTAAATGGATGAACAATAGATTAAAATATCTGATTGGTCAAAAGGAGAGGCAATATAGGCAAATCAAATGAGGGAGGGGGCAATTGAGAAATCGATATTTAAGTTAAAGAGGAGAAATAAAAAAGGGAATTAGAAAAGCAAAAAGATGATTATATGAGGTTAAAGTTGCAAGAGAATCTCGAAGACTAACCCAAAAGATTCTTTCAGGTATACAGAAGTAAGATCAGGACAAGATAGGCCAAGACTCTTTTCAATGTTCTCGGGTCGCTCCCTGACAGCTGATAAGGAAATGTGTAGAATTATTAACACATACTTCCTCTTGTTTTTTCACAGGAGGATTCAGCGATTATTCGTAATGATAATATTATGTAGAAACAGGTCGATAATAAACTGTGCACTAATTAGGGTCAAAGTGGACATGGTCCTTAGGCAAGATAGATAAATTCAAAACTAACAAAATCCCATTGCCCTGCCATGAACTGTATGCAGGGTTCTAAAAGGAATGTAAAGAGGAGCTGAGCACACCTTTGGCTAATCTTTTTCAATCATATCACTACAAACTGGCATGGTGCCAGATAGTGGAAAAATGGCAAATGTGTACTATTTTTCAAAAAGGTGACAGGTCCTTAGCTTAGAACTATAGACCAACTAAGCCACAACATCCATAGTGGGAAAATTTATGGAAATCAATAATTGCGAGGCAGTTCGTAGCCACCTTGAAAAGCATAAATTAATCAACGAATCTCAGATGGGTTTACAATAAGGGGCGTTCTGCCTTCGAATTTATTAACTTTTCACTTAACGGTATTTGAGTGAGGTAGATCTGGTAATGGAATATGATCATTGTGTAGATGGACTTCAGTAAGGCTTTTGAAAAGGGTCCACATCAGAGGACTATTGAGGAAACTTAAAGCAACTATGGATAGGAGGAGAAATTTTTTCCTGGTAGAGCATGGTTGAACCAAATAGGCAGCAGAGAGGAGTTTGATAATTGGGGAGATAATCAGAGTGGGAAGCGTCACGAGCGGTGTTCCACAGGGGTCAAGTGTTGGGACAACGCCTGCTGTTCACATCTACTTAAACGACTCAGATGAGGGCAATAAAGAGCGACATCGGCAAGTTTGCCGATGACACCAAAAGATAGGCCGTCGATTCATTCTGACGAGGACATTATAGCACTCCCTGGTTGATTTGTTAGATGAGGCAGTGGTCGGAGAAGACAGTGGCAGCAATGCATTTTAATATTTAGACAAATGCAAAGTTCTAAAATGTTGGACAGGACAAAAACAATTGCCACATATAAACTAAATAATGTAGATTTATTTATTTAAGGATGGCGGGGTAAAAGATTTAGGAAGTTCTGGTTTGCAGTAATTGAAACCAAGTCAAACAGTGCTTAAGATGTTCCAAATAAAGCTAATAGAATCCTTGGATTCATATAAGAAGCATAAATAATAGGAGTCCTCAGGTTGTTCTTCACTCTTACATCCTTGGCTCTAGCCTCACTTTTAGATTATTGTGCACTGTTTTGGTCACCGTATTACAGAATGGATCTAAATTCTCTGGAAAATGTACAAAAAGGAGGGATGGACAAGTTGATCCCATGTATCAGTAAACCTTCCCTATGAGGATAGACTGAAGGCCCCTGAAACTGCACTCTTAGAAATAAGAGTTAGGAATTAGGGGGGATATGCTTGAGGTGTATAATAATGGAAGACAGGAATAAATAAAGGGGATGTAAATAGTGTGCTGAATTTCTAGCCTAGAAAGGACTCGCTTGCAATGGTTTTAAGAATGGAAAAATTCAGCATTCAGGAAGGATTATAGGAAAGTAATCGGTTGGTAATAGGAGTTGTGGATGTGTGGAACAAAATCCCCAGTACCGTTATAGAGGCCAGAACGTTGTGTAGCTTTAAAAAATAGGCTTGGATAAATAACAAGTGGATGTGGGATGGGTCGTGAGTTAGACCTGATTGCTTTGTGCTACCAGGGGGGTGGGACGGTTGCCGTGGTTCCTCCCTTAAGTCAATGTGGACCCTGACCTGAATAGGTTGGGGAATGGGCTTAACCGGGTTAGGAGACTTGGAACTGCCGCGCATGGGCCAGTAGGCCTTCTGCATGTTCCTTCGTTCTTATGTTCTTATGTTCTTATGTTCTCTCTTATATATACTGGCTTCCTCACCTTCGTGTGTTAATGTGACTTGTAATTGGCCCAAGTCGAACTGAAAGGGCCGCCATGAGGATTCTATGTCTTGTGCAGCGTTTATTTGTGAATGTTACAGTCACGCGTATTGGGTATTCTTTTTCTCCTTCAATAACTAAGGTTTTTAAATGAATGAGAATCAACGTCCCTCTGGCCAGTGTAAAGGAGAGGAGGGGGAAGTACAGTCTGGAGAATGGTAGCTGGGTATAAGGGATATATAATAAGGAATCAACGTACCCTCTGGCAGTGAGCGGAGTGAAGGCGGGAAGTAAGTCTGGGAATGGTAGCTGGGTATAGGGTATATAATAAGAGAATCAACGTACCCTCTGGCAGTGAGCGGAGTGAAGGCGGGAAGTAAGTCTGGGAATGGTAGCTGGGTATAGGGTATATAATAAGAGATTCAACGTACCTCTCGGCTGTGAGCGGACAATGAAGGCGGAAGTAAGTCTGGAATGGTTGTGGGTATAGGGTATATATAAGAGAATCTACGTACCCCTCTGGCAGTGAGCGGAGTGAGGCGGGACGGAAGTCCGGAATGGTAGCTGGGTATAGGGTATATAATAAGAGAATCAACGTACCCTCTGGCAGTGTAAGGAGTGAAGGCGGGAAGGAAGTCTGGGAATGGTAGCTGGGTATAGGGTATATAATAAGAGAATCAACGTACCCTCTGGCAGTGTAAGGAGTGAAGGCGGGAAGGAAGTCTGGGAATGGTAGCTGGGTATAGGGTATATAATAAGAGAATCAACGTACCCTCTGGCAGTGTAAGGAGTGAAGCGCGGGAGGAAGTATGGGAATGGTTAGCTGGGTATTGGGTATATTTATAGAGAATCACACATACCCTCTGGGCAGTGAGCGGATGTGAAGCGCGGGAAGGAATTCTGGGAAGGAATGGTAGTGGGTATAGGGTAAATAATAAGGAATCACGTTAACCCTCTGCAGTGCGCGGAGTGAAGGCGGGTAGGAAGTCTGGGAGGATGGTACGCTGCGTATAGGGCTATATAATAAGAGATTCAACGTACCCTCTGGCAGTGAGCTCGGGAGTGAAGGCGGAAGTAAGTCTGAATTGGTTAGCTGGGTGGTTCTACGGGTAATAATTAGAGAATCAACGTACCAATCTGCAGTGAGCGGAGTGAAGCCAGGGATGAGAAATGAAGTCTGGAATGGTACCACATGTTTAAAGCCCGTTTTCTCAGCGTCAGCATTCAGCTGGCACGGGATCCTGAGGCAGGTGGTGGACACCAGACATAGTGGGGAGACCATGGTGGTTGAGGCTCGCCGTGGTAGGTCTTGGTGGGTGTGGAGCCGACGAGCTTCAGTGTTCTGAAGCAGATATGTAGAGAGCTTCGTTGTCTATATTGCAATATGTCTCGTCATCATCTCCAGCTCAAGTTACATACCAGTTGATGGATTGACCGAGTGCGATTCCTGTACGGCTCACTACTGTGTCTGAATACCTGTAACAGACGGGGGGAGCGTTAGGGTATTAACAACATATTTGGTTATTGTGTTCTGAAGGACTGTTCCAGCCACCTCACACACACACACACTCACAACACACACACACACCCACACAACTACAACCTTTAAGCAGAGGTCAAATATAGATCCTTGGAGCAGGGTGAGAGAGATAAGGACTAGTAGCGACACCAGCGGAAGAGACGGGGCAAGAAGCTTAGTGAATTAGAACCCCCATGCAACCACAAATAGGTGGAGTACTCCACACTCAAAGCAGATGGTGATCAGGTAGGACTACAAATGGCTCCTGGACAGACTGCACAAACTGATAAGTGACAATTGTCTCCTGGTGTTTAAACCCCATCTATGTAAAGTTATGAAGTTTGGGGAAGGTCAGAGAAGACCGTCAGACGGTGTACATTACTATGAGGTCAGAGGCTTGAAAATTCAGTCAAAGAAAAGAACACTGTAACTAAACTGTTAATATCAGTTTATATATACCAACAATGGAAAAAAAAACACCAAAGTGTAACTTTATGTAAACTGCAATATAGTTACAAGCGAGGTATCGATAGGTGCAGGTAATGTCTGCAACATAGAAGTCATAATACACGTGTGCAAAATATCCACCAGTTTACCACTATTGATATTAAACAGGAAAATGTTTTTGGGTCTGTCCAAGTGACAGCTGTGTCAGCAAATTTTCATTTATACTAAAAGACAGAAACAACAACAATAACAACAAAAATTGCCTTTTTTGTAATTTTTGAAATCTTGCAGGGAATTTTGGGAAAAGTAAAGAGAGTGAATCAGGGGAGAGTTGCCCACCCCTTGCTGGTGCTGGCCTTGGAAGACAGTACCTGTAGAGAATAGAAATGCAAGAGAGTGCACCAGGTGGAGACAGTGATACTGGTACTGGAGAAACGGGTAAAAGACCAAGGGACATACAGGAACCCAGAAATGCAAAATACTCAACTGCTGGAGACGGAAAAAAAAGGGAAAGATTGCTTCGGGAATGGTTTTGATACATTACCAGTACTGACTGGTGGTGTTACTGATGCGGACAGTGCTGCACATACTGGGGAGTCAGGAAAAACAGCATCAATACGGAACCGAGCCCCAAAAAACCTAGCAAACGAAATCAAATCTGCGTAAATTCTATGCCTTGGGTATCTTTTTGGTATAGAATAAACGGGAAATATAGGTGGGACATAACAGTTTTTGAAACCCTTCCAAAAAAATGCCGAGATCTCATGACCAGTTCTTCTTATTGTGAACTATTTTCAACTTGAAATGTGTTTTTTTTCAGTCCGTGAACCTTGGAGTTTACGTGGAGAGGATTTCGGGGTCAACGCCCCCGAGGGTCGGTCTGAGACCAGGGCCCCGTGGTGGTTCAGGGTCTGATCAACAATGTTACAACACACACTGTCAGGCACACCACTTAAAGGGGACAGGGAAAGGGACAGATCACACAGATATTGGGAAACAAACCAGAGTAGCTACAACCACCCTACAGGCAAAAGATTTTTTGGTGGCAGGAAAAAAATTCATGCAAGAATGACGAAAATATTACGCCACCTGGGATTACTGCTGGAGTGGGGGCACAGTCATGCTCTTCACTCCAGAACAACAGATATTTGTGCCAAAAATAAAGCCCTCCATACATACCATCAGTACCAACAACATTTGTATATGCAAAAATAGAGAGTCTACAGCCATCAACAAACAAAATACCTTCATTTGGTGGACGATCAGAGTCAAATGCAATGTTTGTGGCTTTCACAGAGACCCACATAAAGGATCACTTTGAAACGAAACATGGATCCCGGTTACAACTTATTCAGATGCGACAGAAAAACAGGCAACAAACGGGGGGTGTAGGGTTGGCCTGTTTGTCACAGAGTCGCTCGTTTCTCAGAATTACAAACACCACAAATGATTAGCTGAAGTTTTGGGAGTAAAGACAGAAAACGAAAACCTGTCATATGGTTGTACACAAGCCCCCGTATACAACTTCCCAACAATTCAAGAACATATTTTTGAAAATTGACTACTGTCTAGATAATCTTTTCCAACACCAGCCCAAAATATGTTATTGCTGGGTGATTTCAACTTAGACACTTAAAATGGAGGAATGTAATGTTTTAGCAGAGATCACCCCCCCGGGGGCACTCAGATAAAAATTCACGGCACACATAAGCTATTAAATCTCTGCATCAAAATTCACCTTAAGCCAGCAAAATAGTGGAGCCAGGAAGACTGGAAAATACACTTGATCATATCTCAATAAAAATGATCTGATACGAAATATAACATAACAAAGACAATACACTCGCATCATAAACATAATCGAAAGACAGACATATATGCGCAGGGATCCTGACCAGCAAAATAAGGTCATTTATGAGTTCTTCACGAAATTCACTTCAATAACAAAAACATACAGTGGGATTTAATTAACCATGTCTTAAATGAAACAAGCTGGGAAATATCCTATAAAAACCGGATTCAAACCCTTTGCCTAAAAGAAATTAACTCAGTGTACTTGAGGTATGCCCCAAGGCACATTCCCCTAAGACAGCAAGAAGAGAAATGCAAAATAGAAAGAGAGAGATGCTTCCCTCTACAGGCAAAGGCAAAGAATCACAGAGACTGCTGAAAGAGACCGATATATCTGAAATAGGAAGGAGGCACTGGCCAGAAAATAGAAAATATCGAACTTAAACTAAAGGAATCATACAGGAGACAAAGAAACACAGCAAGAACTTTAAGCCATAAATAAAATTGAAAAAACCCCAAAATATTTTTGTTCTTATGCAAAATCTAGGGTAAAAATTTCATCCATTATTGGGCACTTGCTCAAATAGACGGGGTTATGACATAAAGAAATAGTGAGATACTGCTAACCGGGCTAAAAGGACTGTTTAGTGAGCTGCAACCAGACTAACAGTGATGTTTTTGAGCTGCTAACCAGATAACATGACTGTTTTAGTGGCGCTAACCAACTAACAGTGACGTTTTGTGAGTGAAACCCGACTAACAGTGACAGTTTTGTGAGCATAACCAACAAAAGGACTGTTTGTGAGCGCTAACCAACTAACAGTGACTGTTTAGTGGCTGCTAACCAGACTAACAGTGACTGTTTATGGCTGCAACCAGGGCTAACAGTGCT